GTTTAGGGCTGTTGTGCATAGGGTCGCTATGAGTCGCAAACGACTCGACGGCACATAACAACAACAGTAATAACAAACATGTTATCATATCTGCAATGAATCCCTGTATTTCAGCTGGTGCCTCAGGAAAAAAAGACAAAGTGAAGGCCTCTAAAACAGGCCATTCCAAGTGCTCTGCTGCCACCGATCCAGAAGGAGAAACGCTGTCAGTCAAAGCTTACTACCAGACACTCCACAGCCTTCATGCTCGCACGGTACACTGTTGGGCTTTGGCTGCATGGGAACAAAACTGCTGAGATGACTTTGTATGCTATCCTGTCAGGACTTCAAAGCCCTGTCCCTGTGATTAGGTACGTTTTCAGCCACACATCAATCACCACCGATCACAGCCACGCAGGGAAGGCACCCCTGTGGGCAGCACTAGAGCAGCAGGCTCTGGGCCGGAGGAGGGGGGAGCTCCTCCTTGGGCCACATCATGTGGATCTAGGAACAAATGCCAGGTCTACGTTTACAGATGAGGGGCACTAGGACGACAGCTACGGCCTGGGGGAGAGGTCAGTCCAGGGTGGAGAGAGGCCACAGTAGAAGGCCACAGTGCCGTTCTCTGTGGTGTAAAACCTGCAGTCCCAACATCATACTTCTTCCCAGAGGACTCACAGGAAATCTCAAAATGAAGTATAAATGCTGCTGTCCTCCACATGTTTGTGTGCTTGTCTCAATTTCTTTGGAAACAGTACTACTTACCAATCTGCTGAATCCTCCATAGAGTATACAGAAGCCCCCCTGGTAGTCAGAGAGGTCGACGAAGCCCTCAATGTGCCTGTAGTCGTAGGAGCAGAGGACTCTGTTGGTGGCAGGGTTAATCTGGTCAAAGCCTCCAGGGGTCACTTCCAAGATCACAGGCTTTCTCGTGTCACTCCAGTGATGCTTGTAGCAGTTATATCTCTGAGAGGGGAAGAAAGTTACTAATTCACCGTGCCGAAACCAAGTCAGGATTCAAGTATCAACCACTACCCAAAACCAACCAAAAACATCAATAAACGGATAAATATTTAGTGCTTTTATCCAACTGTTAAAATCACTAACAATTTTTAGCTATTTAGAGAGGGTCTGTTTACTGTTCATTCAAACTGATGAGATATGTTTCTTTTTGGTTATGGTATTTTATAAAATAATTTTCAGCCACTGAAGGTAAATCTAAACAAAGAAAAGAGAGGGACAAGCTTCCTAAACAGAAAGGTTCTCCTGGAAGTTTTCTCAGGAAAAAGGCCTATGCTTTTGTAATCTTGTCATACTTCAGGGAAGTTACAAAGTTTAACTGAAACATCCTAAACTGGCTCACACAGTGAGGGATACAGATTTTTCTTTCTACACATTTTAAGTACAAAATCAAACAAAAAAAGAACTTTTCTAATCCCACCATTTGAAAGTTAATTTTAACAATTTTTAACATTTGGAAGTAAAATTCCACTTCTACATTTCCTTTATAAATTAAAGAAACAGTATCAGAAATGATCAGTTTTAGTGTTAAAAAAAGCTTTAAGAGGCAGCTGCCCGAAATGAGAACAAGATAAATAACAAAGTGTGAACTGTGAGATCATCTCCACCAGCAGAACCACATTCCACCTCTCTGAACAAAAGGTGCTAGCTAACACGTGAAGAATGGTGATATGATGGGGAGTAAAATACACTTGGAGCTCAAATTCACAACTATTCTAACACCAAATTAGAGAGATTCCCCTAGGAGTTTAGAAGGGACACAGTAAGCCAGGACATCAGCACTAGCATCCCACTGTGAAACCAGCACTGAGGTTCCCAAGACCAGGTGTGACCAGCCCCCTCAGCGTTACTGATCAATGCCATCGCGCGCCGTCAGGCCCCTCCGCATTACTGATCCACAGAGGAATTCTGCAGTTTGTCACAGGAACCTGCAGAAAACTGAGAATGGATTTTGAGTCTGGATTCAGAACTAGCGCTGGTCAGTACCACTGCGCTGCGGAAGAGGTGATGTTTCCTCAAGTTTCCCATTAACATGCAAGTCCCCAACCGCATTTGTGGGGTACTTGTCACTCCTCCCAACTAAGGATCAGTCTCCAGAACGAGATGTACTTATGGAAACATCAGAACGATACTGATAGGCTGATGGAGAGGCCGGGGCCGAGCGCAGCTCCTATGAGATCCCTGTGAAGGCAGCAAAGCATGTGGGGCTGAATCCCAACTTCTTTTTAGGGAGATACACTGACCACTTCCACCCCTTACTCCCAGTCCAATGTAAAACTGCGTGAAAAACTCTCAGTGAGGTAGGCTGACACAGTGACCACAATCATGGGCTCGAGCCTCGGACGGTGAGGACGGCGCAGGACAGGGTCACCACGAGTCACAGGTGACTTAATGGCACCCGACAATGACCACCACCAGTCTTCAGACAATCTCCTATAGGAGATTGTGGTTCTACCACAAAGCCTTGGAAAATTATTAAATGCTTGCTGTTCACTGATACAAAGGGACAACTACAAACAGGTACAGCTGTCTCCAGACAGACAGGCTGCACAGAAAACTCCCCTGCTCCATAAATAAACTGAGCATGCCAAGCTACAATTTACAGAAATCCAACTGTGGCTTAGGCTGGGAAACAAGCAGACGATTCTAAGAGCTGTCAGGACCCTGAGTCAGAGCCTGGAACTCTACGCTGCTAAGAGCAGCAGCAAACCCCATCAAGGTGGGCCTCTGGGCTGCGAAGAGCAGTGACAGCCCCATCAAGGTGGGCCTCTGGGCTGCAAAGAGCACCTGCTAAAAGCAGCGACAGCCCCCAGCAAGGACAGAGGGTTTCAAGAAGGCAGGGAAGGGGATCTCAGGCCTCACCTTCTGCCAGACCCAAGAGTTAAACAGTGCCACACATCAGTAGTTGCTGTTGTTGTTGTGGTGGTGGTGTGCTGTTGAGTCAGAACCGACCCACAGCTGACTCTCCAGTTTTCAGATGCAGTAAACGGCAATGGAAGAGACTGCCCATCTTTCTCCTGAGAAGCAGCTGGTGGATTCGAACTACCTGCCTTTGAGTTGGCAGTACAACTCCTTACCACTGGGCCCCCAGAGCTTTACCATATATTTCTTTATTTTCTTTCCCCTCTCCCTCCATTACAAGAGGACTTCTTGCTCACGGAAAGAAAAATCAGTATTTCAAGAGTGGAAAGCATAAACCAGCACTTCCACACTACCCTCCCCTGCCCACCAGAGTCTGACTTAGGTTCAACACTGCAGCAGCATGACTAGCAAAGGCTTGGGAAAGTCAAAAAGATTTTAAAACAAGCTGTCCCTGCCCCATGCAGAGCTGCACCACGGGGACATCCAGGACAAGAGCATGCAGTAACAGTTTCAGCACATGTGATACTTCGGAAAGCTTTATTTCTTCTGAAACAGGAAACTATTCCAACACCTGCCGCCTGTTCTGGCATCACTCCCCGGTGCTACCTGCCATCCTGAGAAAGGGCTGCCTGACAGCGCCAGCCTCTGCTTCCGGACTACTGGCAATGGGAGGCTTAAGTCTGATTCCTCATATCAGTGTTTCCTGTTAAACTACATTCAACTCTTTGTCACATGGTATCAGAAATCATAAAATTAAGCTTCCCTCTTTCTCCCTTGAGCTTTTTCATATAAGGATTACACAGAAGATGGAATGATTTCTGCAACAAAGAGTAACAAATGAACAAGAAAGCACATACTAGTAAGTGTTACTCACCCTTCCAGTGATTTTTCCTTCTGAAAAATCAGTTCTAAATCTCTGAAAAAGAAAATATAAACATGGTTTATGACAAAAAATTGGTAAGGAAGACATGTGCCTCAGGCTTTTTCTACCCAAAACAACTTGGCAGCCCTGATATTTAAAAATGTTATTAAAGTTACAACTTGAGGATATTCAATCAAAATATGGACTACCTAAACATATAAATGCTTTATATTATATATCTCTATCTATAGCTTAAAAATGAACAGACTCCCTAACACATATGTGGTTTTTTCCAGACTTCTGATTAGAGAAAACGGAAAAGTCCTCTCTATTAAGCCAAAGGTCACTAAGAAAAGTTAAGTGGGTGCAGAGATGCAGAACATAAACACCTGCACTTTAACGTGTGTGCTAAACACTGGATTTCACAAAAGGAGATATTAACATAGTGGTTAACACTGAAGCCTTCTTACCAATGCTTCTGTAAGAAGTTCTGTTCTGTGCTCTGTAGAAAATTTTAACGTTTCTGACTTCTTTCCACTGCCTTTCCGAAAGGTGAGGTTGAATTCAGTTCCCTGTCCTTTCCCAACAGGACTGATGCTACAAATGTCTCCATAAGGCCACTAACAAAAAGAAAAAGATCCTTCAGCTGGAGCTGTAACACGGTAAGATGCAACAGTCATTTGTATCCATGGATTAAATGGGCATAACAGTGCAGAGGTCTAGAGTAAGTCATGTCCTGTAACAACTCTGAAACACAACAAACGCTTCTAAACGTTAAAGATTTTCAGCTGTCAAGTCAGAGCTGCCTCCACACTTCCTTTCCAAAGTGAAGGCCATCCCATCTCTAGGACATATCTAACAGATTCGTCTTTACTTTTTACCTTACAATAAAAAAAATGGTAATTATCTATTTGAAATTTTAATGACTAATGGCATAAACCCAAACAAATTAAAATATATAAAAACAAAGTGAACTGGGGAATAAAATTTTCATCTTATGTGCACCTTTTTAAAATATATCCCTAACTGGGATAATGGGGGTAGGTGTGTCAGAGACATAAAGGTGGCACAGGATAGAGCAGGGTTCAGAGCTGTTGTATACAGGGTCGCTTTGAGTTACAAGCAACTCAATGGCACATAACAAAAGGACTGAATATCTTTAAATGCTGATTTATCTGTTTTGAGGTGAGTCTTACCCTCTATGAACAGTAATCCTACTTCAACGACAAGTGTTTTATTTCCCAGTTCAGCCACGATGAGAAATCAGTGAAAATATAAACCTTTTAAAATGATAAAGAACTCACTTATTAGGTTTACCTAAGAGAGGATACTCAGTGAAACAGATCAAACATCTATATCCTTCAGAGCAGAAATAAACATGTTTTCCCCTTCATTCCTTTTAGGTAATGAGCATAGGATGCTACATAAGTGGATTAATCTATTTTTGATCCAATCTTCTATTTCGGACCAGGGATGCTGGGTCATATACGGCTTTTAAAATTCAAACGGGACTCATACAAAGGTAAACAGCTCCCAAAGTGATTGATTACCTGATTTGTTACTTCTAAGGTATTAGGATTATATGTAGTTATCGCATGGGTTCCAACTGAAAAGACACGTTTATACCTAAAAGAAAAAACAAGGCTGAAATTTCACTGAAATCAAAGCAAACATGTTGTAAGACAGCGTGTGCTATCAAGAGGAGAACTGGGAGTAACTAAAAATGTTCCATGATTAATGCTTGTTAAAATAGTTTTACATTTTTAAATATTCTAAAACATTACTGGGATTACAATCTATCCTCTTTGCCATTATTTTAGTATAAATTATGAAGATTCACAAATAAACGAGTATGACCAGTGCACATGACAATGTACTGTTAGCACAGACCAGAATGGTGCAGTCCTGGCTAAGGGCGCAAAACGGGCTTCAAATGAGCAACTTTCATCTTCTCAGAAAGACGCTCAAGACTACCAGTTCTTTCAAAATGTCCTTTGAAGAGAACCAGTATGGAAAGGAAGGAAAAGCCATATCCTGCACTGTTCGGCCAGTCATATCCCGGAATCTGAGTAATTTCCATTGAAGCAACTACTTGCTTCAGTTAAGTGTGGCAATTTTGTAGACTCAGGAAGCCCACCCCACAAACAAGCAGTTTTCACTTCTGCTTCACTTCCTTCACTCAAAATCACAAACGTGAAGGAGAAAGACCCCTTGGTATCTTTAAGTCTGTCAAGGAGGGTACAGTTCTTAGTGATAAAAGCTGGAACTGAACTATAAAGCTCCAGGTTTGGAAAACTTCAAGAGACGAGGCCCGAAAGGACCAGATAATGTCTGCTTCTCTAATTGTTCCAGAAAACAAAGGCTAGCTGCCTGGTTCTTTTACTGCAAGCTTATAAAGACAGAACAAGAAAGTAAGTCACAAAAATAAATGTAATAAATACTGACAATAAGAAACAAGTAGCATATTAAAACAGCAATCTCTCCCCTGACCAAGGGAGACACAACATAAAAACCTAAGGTCAATAATGGGTGAAGTTAATAAAATTGATCACATTTATTAAAAAATAACAACCCCACTCACTTCAGTTTCCTGAATACATCAATAGGATATCAAGATGTTTCTGCATTTGTTAGTGACTTTCAAATCATCCAAAAGAGATGTTTTACAGATTTATATAAACTTTTGTATATGTACCCATGCCTGCCTGGCATTTATGGCAAGAATATATTTATGCTTTGAACTACTAAAAAAGTAAAAAGACACAACAAGTTAGCTTAAACTAAGTGACGTCAGATATAAGGGAAACACATTAGAGAGATGACATTAAGATCAAGGGAGTTCTCAAATTTTCCTTTTTCAAGCTCTCCCTTTTTCTCTGGTAAACCACTTACACACTGTTCTGTTGCTGGTCACTAGGGACAGCTGACCACCAGTCACACAGCCCAGAACAATGACGAAGAGCAGAGCTGCTCACTGCCTGTTCTGAGCAGCCTTCCCAGCACCATCCGCCCCGCTTACGGCTGCCACGAGAATCACCGTGTCCATCCACCTCTTGAGGGTCTTCCTCTTTGGGTGACCCTCTACTTTTCCCAGCATGCCGCCTCCTCCGAGGCCTGGTCCCTCCCAATAATGTGCTAAAAGTATGTGAGATGGAGTTCATCTTGCCTTTAAGGTGCACTGAGGTTTCATTTCAAACTGATTTGGGGAGCTCTGGTGGCCTAGTGGAAAGAAGCTGCACTGCAATCCCAAAAGCATGAAGTTCGAATCCACCAGATGCTCCTGTGAAGGAAGAGCAATCTCCTCCTGTGCCCATCAGATCCGACTCAAAAAAAAGACCAGAGAGACTGGTTTCTTCTTCAGGCAGTCCAGAGAGTGTTCAATACTTCCCACCAACACCACAGTTCAAAGGTATAGATGCTTCTTGGGTCTTCATCATTCACTGTCCAGTGTTCAGATCAACAGGAAGCAAGTGAAAACACTGCGGCTCCGAAGTGCACTCTGACCTGCCATGGCCCTCCTTTGCTCTTGAGCACTCTGGAGAGGTCCTGACAGCAGTTTCCCCAATGCAACACGTTCTCTGATGTCTTGATTGTCGCTTCCAAGAGAACCAAGCAAAATGAAGTCATTGAAAGCTTCAAGCTTTTCTCTATCGATCATGATGTTACCTATTAGCCCAGTGATGCCCAGTGATGAAGATTTCTGTTTCCTTGATGTTGAGATGTAATCCATATAGAAGACTATAGTCTTGGATCTTCTTCAGTAAAGGTTCAAGTGTTCTTAACCTTCTGCAAGTAGGGTTGTGTCATTTGTAAAAAGCAGGTGTTGATGAGTCTTCCTCTGAGCCTGATGTCACATTCTTCTTCAAACAGTTCCGCTTCTCGAATGATTTGCTCAATGAATAGGTATGCAGAAAGCTACTTTACTGATGCACACCTATCCTGATTCTAAACCATGCAGTGTTCTCCCGACCTGTTCAGACAACAACTTCCTGGACCATGTATAGATTTGGCATGTGTACAATTCAGTGTTCTGGGATCCCATTCTTTTCAAAGTGATCCACAAAGTCAACTATTTCTGTATAGTCAATAAAACACAAGTAAACATCTTTCTGGTATTCTCTACTCTTAGCCAATATCAACCTGACAGCAGCAATACTTGTTCCATGTCTTCTTCTGAATATAATTTTAATTTCTGGCAGTTTTCTGTCCATGTTCAAGCTGTTTTTAAATAATATTGTTTGATAATTTCCACACTCGGGTGATCACCTTTTTGTTGGAATGGGAACAAATATAGATCTCTTCCACTCAGTTGGCCAGGTAGCTGTCATCCAAATTTCTTCAAAAAAGCTCATAAAGCACATCAACAGCTGCTTTGGTTTATTAAAGTACCTCAACTGGTATTCCATTAATTCCTGGAGGTCTTATTTCATACACATTATGAGAGCGAAATCATTTTCATTCTGAGGAAAAAGTAACATAGGAAATGTTGACTTTTATAATTTTATCTATTGTTTAAGGGGTTTCCTAATTCTAAATGTCTCAAGTGGTTGTTTTTATTTCGCTCACAACCGTGTGTGAGCTTACTGGATTTGACTAACAACTAGTTTTAATTCTGTTTGGAATGAACATTCTTCTAAGTGGTACAGCACTGGTCTGACGATTTGCTCTACTGAGGTAACTTGGGGTTGCTCTGTGATGCTGAACACTGTATCATCAGTGTGTCAAATGCCGTAACGGTCACCCATGATGGACAGTGTTTGGTAGAGCTCCCAGGTTAAGACAGGCTTGGAAGCAGGAGTGGCATCCACTTCCTAAACCACATGCCTCTGGAAACTCTATAAACTATGAGAAATGACAATAGTTACAACAGGATTCAGGTCTTTTGTTCACAGGGTTGCTATAAGTCATGCTCAACTTGACAGCACTTAACAACAACAGTCTCGAGTGGAGAGGGCAAACAAGAAGAATGAGGGCACTTTCTACAGTGTGGGAAGAGTTGGTGAAGTATAAACAAGATTTATTACAATACTGGCCCCCAAACCTTAAAACTTCACAGGCAAAACTAATAAATGAGAATCAAAGCAAAGCAATGGCATTAAAATTAGTACTTACCTCAAACACTACACACAATGGAAGGAAAGAAAATGTCCAGTAGAAATACCATCACAAAAATTCCAAGTTTCAGAATCTCTTGAAAGCCAAACGTACAGATCTTTACAATTATGAAATAACACTACAAAACTACAGAGTGTAAGATTTTACTCTGACCACCTCTTGTGGTTTCTGTGAGCCTGAAGGTGCTGTGGCCGCTTTCGTGGATCCCTTACTTCTTGGGCATCACCAGGAGCTCAGCACTAAGGCTCATCAGTGTCATTTAGAAGCACAGAAGGTGCTGCATCTGTTGAAATGTTTTCAAAAGTCCTAGAGACGCAGTTGCTTCAAACCCCCAAATTAGTGGAAGAAGATCTTGAGTCCAAGATTCAGAAACTGGATGAGATGGATGAGGACGAATTAGCATGCCTGAAAAGGGAGACTGGAAGCGCTACAGAAAGCTCCAGAGCAGCAAAGGAACGGCTTCCAAGGGACTCTTGGAGAATACAGAGAAGTCCCTACACAAAGAGACTTTTCTCCAAGAAGTCAAGAAATGAAAAAGCGGTCTGTCATTTCTATAGCCTCAATATTCAGGTGTAAAACAGCAGACATTCAGGTGTAAAGCAGCAGACAGGCATCTGGTGATACTGTCGAAGAAACAGGTCGAGACTCAAGTTTTGAAGCTGAAAGTGAGAAAAGTGCCCCTGCTCTGTGAGAGATTGTGCATCGGTCATCCCCACGGTGAACGATGGCAAGACCAGAATATGCTGCTGGATTCCCAGGCCTCGGAAATACAGACTACTCCACAAAAGCTTTAGAATGGCAGCCTGCTTGTTCTGATTAATTACAGCGGAAATCTAATGGAGCCCCATTTCAGAGTCAAAAAAATTTGGAACAAACTTCACACAACTGGGGAAAAAAATTCTTTGATTTCGGATGATGATTAGGGCTTAATTATGTTTCTTTGTAAATAATATTTTGATTTTTGTCTACTTCTGAGTTAGGTGTGTTTTCTAAATTCTACTTGAT